AACATGCTCTGTAATAATACTCCCCCATAATATCGCACAAAGGAACTTTACTGCTCTATACCTCTTCCCGACTGTTATAGCAGTTCCAATTTATTATAGCCCTGAGGCTGCCCTGCAATGAAGGAAAGGCAAAGAGTCCTAACTGTAGACTTCATTTTACATTTTTTATAAAAATTTAAAATACACAGAAATAACATCAGGAAAGACATTAGCCGTAAATACCTTATTCTGCTGCCAACAAGAGTTTTGGCCTGGGAGACAAAGGTTTATACTTTGTAATTAGAATACACTGTGCAACAAGGACTAAGTAAATGTGAAGCATTTAGCCTGTCTTGTTGCCTGTAATCTCCCCCACCAAGTGAAGCTTATTCTTTATCTCTGCATTCCCAATTTTGTCCCTGCAGGTTCTTGCAATTTCCTGGTGTGCTTCCTTAGTGGCCTGCCCATTTTTCTATTGTCTGTGTGCTTTCCTTTTGCATTTGAGGGATCCTAGAAACTCCTTGTGCAGCCACATTTATTTTTTACTGTTCTTAGAATCATAGAACATGGCCCGATGAACACACATGTACCGGGGCATGTATTTGCTGTGGCACAAATAGCAGTGGCACATATTTGCTGAGACACATCTGCCCATTGTTGAAGAATCCAGAAACTTCACACCAACACCACCATCTCAGCTTCTCATTTCCTTCTGCAATACATTGGGATTCCCTTCCCTTCATTCCCTTCCATAGGGAGAACTGTTGAGAATATCACTTGTGTACCTCAAGCTCCTTAACCCTCCTGCCTAGAAACTGGAGGTCTCCTCTGGTCTGCTCAGTATCATTTCTGGCATGGTTGTTTGTGCCTGTATGGACATGCAGGAAAGGGTAGTGGTTCTGAGGGGATGGATGAGCTCTGATAATCTGTCTCTGATATCTTGAATTTCAGCTCCAGGCAAACAACACACCTTCCAGGTCCACACATCCAGAGGACAAATTGGTGTTTCTGTCTCCTGCAGAGGGGAGTCACCAACCACCACCACTCTTTTCTTCCTCGTTTTAGAGCCCCCATTCTTGAGGCCATGCACTTCCTGCTTTCTAGATTTTAGAGTCCTCTGGTTCTTGCCTGGTGATGTCCTCTTCTCTGCCTTTCCCTCAGCTGCTCCTCCGCAGAGTGCTCATTGCAGAGAATTGGTGATTTCAAAGAGCTCCTTTTGAATTCAGGGGACACTCCATTTAATAGTCACATGCTGCCACTTTTCCTCTTCTCCTTTTGGCCTCTCCAGTGCCAGCCTCTCATACTACCTGTACAAGTAACCTTCATTTCTCTTGATAACACGGAGAATGAATAGCCATGCATCCAACCTTTGAATCCTTGCCTCCATGGCAGATAACAGGTTGCATTTGGTGGAAAAGAAATGGCCTTGACCTATGGAAAAAACACAAAGGTGGGATATCTCACACAGGTCACAACTGCTGACTCTGCCTCCATTTCTGCCTCCTCTGCTCCCTGAACACCTATGTGTAAAAAATCAAACAACCCCCATGTGGATGTGCAAACATGTGTAAGGACACACACAGCCTCCTGCTCCTTGGCTTCCTATTATGGTGAACTCCTTAGGCAAACTTCATATGTTTGCTGCCCTCTGTTCACTTCCTAGATAGACTTAGATTTTACCCTTTTGTAACAGGACATCTTCCTGTATATTAACAGAGGAATTATATATAACTTGCTCCAATTACAAATAGTTGCAAAAGTCCTTTGGATTTATTGGCATAGGACTGGAACATAAGTTGTCAATAAACATATGCGATGTATCATTTACTTATTGTACTCTAATACTGTGTCTCTGGCCACATACAGATGTTAGGTTTCTACCCGGAGTATCATAATTTTTCAAGCAGAAACTAGGAGCATATAAGCATTCATTCAGTTTCTCCTGCCAGAAATATCCCCTCAGTGAGAGAAAGATCTTCTAGGTTAACATCTGGAAACTCTCTCACACAAATGAATGCCTGTATAGTCCCCTCCCAGTCTGGTCTGGGATAGCAGGGAAGGATCTGGGCAAGTTTTTCTGCCTCTTCCCTAAATAGGTACTGCCCAGTCTGGGGAACTACTTGGGGGCTTTGCCCTGCTGCTCCCTCCACTACAGTCCTGGAGACGGAGTGGAGCAGAGGAGACTGCTCCCTTCCTGTTCCCCAGACCCTGGTCTGGATAAGATGCTGGGAGCCTTTCCCTGCTGCTCCACTCCTCTGTGGGACTGGAAGGAGTAGTGCATCCACTGCTATCCATATCTTCCCTGGAATGGGATTGTGCTGTTAGGCTGGAGGTGAGAAAAGCAAGAGAGTGGGGTGGCTGCAGGCTGAATGTCTGTATAATGCCTCTCCCAGAAAAACTTTTAGTCAAACTTCCATAACTGCTACCACTAGAAATGAATGTCTGTTCATGGCCCTGGCTGTGGACAAAAAGTGTTTGTATTTCATGCTAGTGATACTAGTTTTAAAGGTAGATTTCAAAAGATAGGGTTTCTTTATTTATTGCAAGCTGAATATTACAAATGTATTTGGTATTTGCATATGGCATATTAAACCCATAGTTTATCCCCATAATATATATTAATATTTATGAATAAAATTATAATTATTTTTATGATTATCCAGAAGTTGACATTTCTTCTTAATAGTACAGGGATCGTCATAAAAATATTCTTTTTAAAGTGTGTCTTAATTTAAAATGAATATAAAATATCATTTCTGGGTTCCATATTTGTTGTAGTTCAGGGGTTAAAGCTAAGTGTATTGAATTTATGAAGACAAGGTTCTTTGTGTAAATTCAATATCTTTTATTAGACCAACTCAAATAGTTAGAAAAATTCTTCTTTGCAAGCTCTTGGGTACAAAAAGAAAGCTTGCAAAGGAAGAAATTTTCAACTATTTGAGTTGGTCTAATAAAAGATATCGGATTTACCCAAAAATCTTGTCCACCTATGTCTGTAGACCAACATGGCTACAACGTATGCTCTTGAATTTATTAAAGTATTTTTAATACATTTTTAAACTGCTATAATAACCAGATCTACAAATTGAATTTGGGATTTGAGATGAAAATCTATTCTTTTTGGGTAGTGCAAAATCAGTAAACACTAGAGGTGAACTTCTGTTTGTCATTATATCAGGGAAATCCCCTTATATTTAAATTATGCCTTTAGACATATCAGGTTTCAGTGGGAGTATGCTAATATAAATTTGGCCCAAAGGTTAGAATATAGAGAATATTTCTTTTAATGATGAATAAAATGAGGTACAATCCATTTCTTTCTTTTACAGCTATACTGGATTCATAAAAATCATTATGAGTAGGCATAATTTTGAATATAAGAGTGGCCACAGCTCTGCTCTTCTGAAATTGTTTGAAAAACTATTGGCTTTAGTGATCCATGAATGTGACCACTGAACAGGCTAGCTGTTCAAGAACATTTCATATCTACTTTGCAGAGTCAAGCTACTCTTCAAAGAGAATGTATTCCTAATTAAAGCAATCTGTTTCAGCCATCTGGAGTGAAATTTCAAAAACATTTCAGTTCCATTTCCAAAAGTGATGTAAGTATTTAGGAGTCAGTGAAATTAGAATCTGTTCAATGGAAGCTTAGGCACTTAAATTTGAAACAGTGATTCCAAATATACATTTGACAACAGCCACAGAGCTCAGTAAGTGCCTGAATTCATTAGGCATATATATTTTGTAAAGCAAGGGTCCCTAGGAATCTATTCTAGGGCTTCTGCCCATGTTCAGAAGTGATTCAGATGGAAAGCTTCAGTGCATGTGCATCATGGTGCTTCTCCTGCCCAAGCTCCATTGTAATATACTGGAGGCAACCCAGGTGCCTGGAAAAGTATTGAGTGGCAGGAGGAAAAGAAAGAAAGAAAGTAAGGCAAAACCACTAAATTTTCATAAATAATATTGATGCTCAGCTCAAAGTAGCAGTGATAGTGCTCATTTTTTGTTTTCCAGTTGTGAGTCCTTCCAAGAGAGCTAGGCTGTAGACACATGCTCCCTCTTGCTTAGTCTCAGAAATGTTTTGTGTGTTTACCATTTGGAAATAATTGGTTCAAAAGAGAAATATCTCTGGTACCAGAGACTGACACCTCAAAATTTCCCTTGCCAGTGGTATCATAACAACAAGGAAGACTCTCCATTGCTTATTCTCTAGGCCCCATGACTTCTATTCTTAGATGTGCAGTGGCCAGCTTCATCAGGTAGGGCAGAACATTCCCTCACTTAGCCTGTTCTCCAGGATGGTGATTAGGATACTCTCTTGGGAAGTTACAGAATAGGTTCACATTTTCTCAGGCTTGGGAGGGCTTAGGATCCAGACCTCACATATCTTGCCCGAGTGGTTTAAAACTATTAGGCTATTGGGCCAAAGGTGGGCAGCTCCACCACCACGTGATCTTCAGAAATCCAATAGGTGACTATCCTTAGAAGTGACAGGTATTATTAATTACAGATAACAGAGCTATCTACCGGGACACAATCAGTCATGCACATAAGCTCCAGAAAGAAGCAGGACTTCAGACACGTACCTGTACTTAACATTTTCTACTGATCACCTCTAGATGTCTCCAGACTTTCTGAATTATCACTCTGAGACACTTACTGCTTGCTGTTCTCTATGGAAAATGCTTAGGTGCCCAAGTTGTAATCTCTCCATTGACTGCTCCATTGACTCCTTAGGGGCCTTATCTAATCAAATTGAATTGTCCTCCAGAGCAAGGAGGGCTAATACTTACGTGTAACAATGCCTAGTGGTAGGCACCTGAGAAACCAAATGGAATATTTTCCTAAATCACTTAGGTAAGTCTTTTTGAAAAATTTACTAATGATCCACAATTTTTTTCAAATGTTATTTCTGGGCATCTTACTCAAAATTTTGAAGGATGTTTTTCTTTGGTACTAAAATATAAATAATATGCAAATATGATTTTCTTAAACATTTTGTTTGCATTTTCCAAATTCAGAAATTGAAAAAGGAGGCTGTGGAGACCCAGGAATTCCATCATATGGAAAAAGGACTGGAAACAGTTTTCTGCATGGAGACACACTTACCTTTGAATGCCAAGCTGCTTTTGAACTAGTGGGCGAGAGAACAATTACATGCCAACAAAATAACCAGTGGTCTGGCAACAAACCCAGCTGTGTTTGTAAGAACGGCTTTATTTATTTCTTTTTTTCTGTCTGCTAATTTCTTGACCTCAGACTGTTTCTTCTCTTGGTGCTTGCAACTAACCAGCAGGAAAACATTTCAAAAGACTTTGAAGACTTGCTCAGTAATAATAACTTTTTTAGATGACTTAGTAGTAGCTAATTTACAGGGAACACCATGTAGGGCCATTTTAGAATGTTCTTTTTTACTCATTTTGTATTTAATTGAAACATTTAATACTTTTAATGTAAATGCTTATTGAATAAAACTCCAAGAGCTGTGTAATAGCATATACGTGGTCAATAGGACTTTGGAGCATGTATCTAATTATACTAGCAGTATATAGTACTCTGCATATCCACATCAGTAAAGTGGTTTTTTTACAACTTAATAAAGTTGTATAAAGAATATAAGCATTATAAAGGTATCCAGCAGTGAAGTAGGATAGTTAAGACCCATAGATGTTATTTCTTTTTTAACAAGTAAAAAATATTTACAGTGAAGCTTCTGATTTGGATAGGTTTGAATAATGACATGTTTATTAAAGTTCTGAAGTAAAACAGTAAATATTTTCCAGTGGACAAGTAACCTATATCTTTTTTCTGTATTCAGCACTTTTAGATAAACATAAATATATAACTGTTTTGCAGCTTTACAAGAACAGCAAGGATCTATTTGTTCTGCTGCCCATCCTTAGTTATTGTACTGGCTTATTTATTTTCTTGTATGTCAATAATTTATATTGGTTGAACATAGGTATACTGATACAATTGCACTCACACTGGTGGGCAGGATCACTTTAATTATCCCAGTATATATATCTTTGAGGTGGTAGAACCTTTATAGACAAGTCTAGGTCCCTTTATCTGTGTTTCCAAATTCTGAACACAATTGAGACTCAGAATATTAGTAGAAGCTTTGCCCATGTTCACAGTGAATTGTTTCCCTACATTGAAACTATCGTTACGGCTGTTCAAATAAATGAGGAAGGAGAGAGAGAGAGAGTGTGTGTGTGTGGGTGTGTATGTAAGTATGTATGTATGTCTGTATGTATGTATATGTATATATAAATAAAACATAAAATAAAAGGTTTAGATGTACTTGATCAATTTATCAGAAAGAAAATAAATTTAAAAACAAAAATTTAATGAATGTATGGTCTTGGATGCATTTAATAGACCAAAGGGAATGGAGGGCAAGATTTACTAGATACCAGTACCTCCATTACCCCTTTTACCTAATAATCTAGAGGTTAGATCACTCAGCCAGGAGGTAGAAGACTGATTTAATTCTTTTTCACCTGAGTTGATTTCACATATTCTACTTCCTAGCTAATTAACCTAGCTCATGCTATAACATGTTTATGAGAAGGATAAGCTGCTCTCTCAGACTCTCCTGTTGATGTTATTTTGCTGCACACAAGTTACTTAAAACTTGAGACAGAGGGAGAGACACAGTGATGCAGAATAACTCTATAGCCCTTTTGGTTAAGGCATTCATTGAAATGTTGAAGCACATTTGAGCTCCATTTCCTATGAAAATTTAAATATTTGATATAAATCTTCCATTCCTATATATGCTATAGCATATACAGTAATGCACATACGGTGAGTGTGTCCTTCTGGTAGGAATGCATTTAAGTAATCTCAGGTTTTTATAAGGAATCCAAGCTGTCTCACATCCACAGTGAACTGTACAGTTAAAACTATAGAGCCAAAAGGGAAGCCACTGCTCTTTCTTTGACAGGTTTTGAAATGTATGGTTCCTTCTCCTAATTTATTTTTCTTTCAGTTGAAAACATTCTGGGAATTCAGCCCAAACAAGCAAATAGTTTCAGGATAACCAAACTCAAAATTTATGAATGAACAAAATGATTGACTAAAAGAAACAATTGACCATTTCAAATGCAATGTACTAATATCTGGAAGTTTGTGAAAAAAATTGCACTGCTGTCAAAGCCAGCAAAATGGATTAAATAATAGCCCATGCTTTTGATAACCTTTGTCTAGCACCCACAGGATCACTTTTTATTTTTCTATGATAAAATAGCTTCACTGTGCTTTAAATAATAATGATGATGATGATGATGATGTAACTGTTTTGTTAAAAATATTAGATTTCTCATTGAAGCAAATACTTTACCTAATTAATTTAATTTAAATATAGTTACTGAAGGTACCAGAAATGTGTGTGTGTGGGGAGGGGTTCTGTAATTGTTCTTATTAAAAATGCATGATTATCAAAATCATGAAATTAGTTCTAAACCATCTATTTAAAAATAGGAAAACTGATGTAGATTAATGTTTCCATCTATAAATAATGCTCAAATTAGTACTATTCACAATTTTCAAATAGAATGAATTTAACATTTAGAATTATCAAATGTAAAAACTTATTTCTTTCCACCATATAGCATTTTAATTGCTTCCAATGATATGCTAGATAACTTTATATATCTAAGCCTTATTTTTTTGTGGCAGGCTTAGGTGACAGATTCCATCACTTTTATACTCAGTTTATAGACTTGGAATGTAGAAAATTTTTTGTAAAAGATAGTTGTGCAAGAAGAGTGAACAAATTGTTTTAAATCAGAACATTTTTTATCGTGTCTTGTGTGTCTATATGTGTAGACACAAAAGTGCAATAGCATTTTTCTTCTCAGCACTTGGTTAAACACATTGATTCTTGGAAAAAAATATCAGAACAAGATACTAAAATCCAAGAATGGAAGAGAAAGAAAGAAAAAACTAAAACAGTATAAAAAAGAACATTAGGTCAGCTTGAAAAGTGTGAGGATTAGATAATGACTGCCCCCTGGGCATTGTTTCTTACCGAATGTAGAATATTTTGTAATATACAACAAAAACCAACTGATGGAAACTGAGTATACATTGTATGTAATAAATACGTTAAAAACTATTTGTGCTGCTTACTGGAAAAAGCACAAATAAAACCTGCATGCTATCCACAAGGAGCAGAAAAATGAGCAGTTTCAGCTTCCTAGGTGCCACTATTCAGTTATTCATGACAAAGCAAAATTAGTTTTTCTCTTTCTGCCTTAAAAAAAAACATATATCTTATTCCAGCATGCATTGTATGGGAGAAATTATGGCATTCCTCATTCTCATAGCAAACACCATTTAGTAACTGAAATCAAGGGATGAATGAATGAATCATTTATTTTTTTACAACCTCCATCAACATCAGTGTCCACAGTTCATATACTGAATCTTCTTATAAATATGTTTCTTTCAGAACCTTCCCGATATCCATGTGAAGTAAATATAAACCTGGCAGAGGCATTAGGTCTTGCTTTAATGGCACAAATTAACTTACAGTCCAGCCATCAGACATCCATTCAGACTCAATCATTTTTGTTTCTATTTTCTTCAGACCACAGTACCATTAGTGTGTGAATTTTTTTACCCCAAATGTACCAGAAATTACCTTAACAGTCTCTACTGCTTCTAAAAATATTGTGTGGGCCCTGATAATAGCATGTAGCCTTACCCATGGGAATTATAACTAACTAACTAACTAAATAAATGCAAGTTAATTAATTAATTAATTAATAAGTTTAAACTGATTAGGAAGTGTTCTAACCTTCTTAGAAATGGCCACATTTACAAATGATATGAGTTTTTACTTCATTCCTTCAAAACATTAATTTTTCATAGAAATAAAAAGCAAAAAGAAAATATTTTGCATTGTTTCTTAATATGAAGTTTTTGAGAATCTAATATTGCCATTTGGGTTTTTTTTTAGTCTCGTGCTTCTTTAACTTCACCACACCATCTGGAATTATTCTTTCACCAAACTACCCAGAAGAGTATGGAAACAACATGAATTGTGTGTGGCTGATTATTTCAGAGCCAGGAAGTAGGATTCATCTCATTTTCAATGACTTCGATGTGGAGCCTCAGTTTGATTATCTTACAGTGAAGGATGATGGAATTTCAGACTTACCACCCCTTGGCACTTTTTCTGGCAATGAGGTCCCTTCTCAGTTGGCAAGCAGTGGGCACATAGTAAGACTTGAATTCCAGTCAGATCACTCTACCACTGGAAGAGGCTTTAATATCACTTACACAAGTAAGCACGTGCCTGACTATTTTCATTTGAGAGCAACATCAAACAATTTGTTGTTGTTGTTCAAAATAATGTGGAAGTAAATTAAATAGTTTAGTTCAGACAAAGGCACTCAGTTCAGTGGAGTGTTACTTTAAAGCTGACTTATATTGCTTCAATGTGCACTGTTTTTATTTTGTGGATAAATCAGTCTACAAAGTTTGACAATGTGCTAAGTATATATGCTATATAAAATACTACATCTGCTTGAATGTATGAAGATTTACCATTGGATATTAACCACATTTTTTTTCTATTAGTTTAGTGGAATAATTAATGTTTCTAGAATCTTTTTTCCTCCCAAAATTAAATGATTTTTCATGCAAGTAATTTAGAGTTTTGCAATTGTTTTTTTCATTAGCTTTTGGTCAGAATGAGTGCCATGATCCTGGTATTCCCATAAATGGAAGGCGTTTTGGAGATAGATTCCTCCTGGGAAGTTCGGTTTCTTTCCATTGTGATGATGGGTTTGTTAAAACCCAAGGATCTGAATCCATAACTTGCATTATGCAGGATGGAAATGTCATATGGAGCTCTACTGTGCCACGTTGTGAAGGTAAGGGGATTATCCTTATCTTAAAGATACTAGTTCACACAATAAAATTATTTTTATTATATTTATTTTCATGTTTTATTTTAGATTTTTTTGGCGTTTTTATTTGATCATATCTATTGTGTTCATTTACATTTTTTTTTTTAATAAAATAAGAATAGACAGTAATACCATAAGGCAAATAAATCCACTAACGTACCTAAGAAGTAGAATAGAATCAGGCCTTTTCTGATCATTTTTATTTGCTTTCTTTTAATTTGGGGTTTACTACATTTCAGAAATAGCTTGAATAATTTTTAATTAAATCAAGCATAACTTGTTATCCTATTGTGCTGCATCATAGCTATTCACACATGCAATGTTTACTATAAGCTAGATCCTTAGACCTTAAGTTAAGCAATAGATGTAAATTCAATAAACATACTATTCTTCTTCCATAAACATTAAATTCAAGAAGTTATGCATCCTCTGACAGAGGATAGTTGCTGTTTTATGTAACGTATGAATATGTCTATTATTTCACTGAGATGATAGATTTTATAGATTCAAGGCCAGATTCTCAGCTCGTGCACTTTGGTATAGCTACACCAATGTCAGTGGAAGTAGACTGATTTTCACTAGGTAAGGATTAGGTTCACAATTTGGTCATATTTTTGAGATTTTGGCTATAAAAATGTAGGTCTTATAAGACCTAAATAATAATAACAATAATTATAATATGCATTTTCATAGTATTTAGGAGATACTGGTAGCAAGATAAGATATAAGAGATGTCTTAAACAACTTGTGAGCTTCCTAGTCCTAATTGCATCATGTAATGGGTTGCCTAGAGCAAGAAAAGCCTACTGAAGCAAGGCTTCTTCATCAGCTAAAATTTTATGATTTTTGAACTCTATGCACACATTCATACAGTGTTCAACACAAGGTATATACAAATGTTCATATCTCGAGAAGTTTTATGGTTTGTTTCCCCCATAGGAAAATATACTTGGAAAGCACTGTAAAAATATTTGTGGGGCTGAGTGAGTGCTGCATTAACAGCCTGATCTGTCAGTGACCTGCAGCCAGGGGTCCCCTAAGCATAGATTTGAGTGTGTTCTGCAGGCGCCCCTGGCTAGCAGAGAGTGCCATGAGCATCCAAGTCAAAGGGCAGCAATGATTGTCTGGCTGGCCCAGGGGACCACATCCTCCTGGGGAACTCCTGCTCACAATTCTTCGGTGAGGCTTTGAGAGAAGACACCCAGAGTATGTTTCCTCTGTTGTTAGTTGCAGACATATTAATTTCTATTCCACCATCTTGCAATGGATTGTCAGTGGTCTGGGTCTGAGAGTATGTGGGGGCCTGGAGGTTTGGGTCTTCTGACTCTTGGTCTTGGGGATATGAGGCCTGGTCACTTGTGAGGAACACAGTTTCCTTGGCATCCTGCATCTCTACAGCCTTAAGAGTACAGCACAAGGTTGGCAAAACAGCTAGGCTTTTCTGTGCCTGAGGCAGTCAGGCACTCTATCTTATCATTAAGATAGAGACACTGGTAGGCTTCCAAATTTCTTTAACATAGTAAATATATCAATAAAGCATTGCCCAACTGCATTCCCCTCCCTCTCTCTCTCTCTCTCTCCCTATATATATATGTAGAGGAGTCTTTTGTTCTAATTGGAGAGAACATGGATTCGGGGGTTTTTAAAAAAAATGGATTGGGAATGCTGCTGGAGCAGTCCACCTGGCACAAGGGTTAGTGTCCCCAGATACAACTGGCCAGGCTCCAGAAGCTCTTGAGATCAAACAGTCCTGAGCTGCTTTCTAGGGCAGGTTATTATATTGCTGGGGCCAGAAAAGGGCGATTTTTTTGTACTGCTGGGGCCAGCACAGTTGCTCTAGCTACCCGTGGCTGCAGATCCAGGAGGAGCCAGGCAGGATTATTTTGCCTCAATTGGCACAACTTGGCCCACATGAAAGTGCATGTCCAGACATGTGCGCGGAGGGAAAAAGCGGGGAAGGGATGGGGGAATGGCTGCGGCACAGGGTTCCCCAGGGCTAACCAGCAGGGAGCCCCCTAAATGAGGCACCGTGTGACCTAGCCAGCTGGGGAGTGGCACATGGATATGGAGGACCAGCCGGCCTAGGGCTGCCTGCTGCCCCTCCTCCCCTCAAGGTACACTGTGCCTCAGTGCGGGGGTTCCTCAGTGTGTGGAGAAGAGGGAGTGTTTCTCCTGGCATACATCACTTTGGCGTTCATTGTGCCTCTTTTTTCTTCCTTGTAAATGCTGCGCCTGGCAGCAATAAACTCTGGCATGACCTGAGCCACAGTTTATGGCATTGCATTAATATTCACATGTAGGCATGCCCACTATGAGACAAAGTGGATGAATCAAGCCCTTAAGCTGTAAGTTACTTGGAACAAGGTTCATGTTCTTTGAATTCTGTAGAGAGTTCCAGAAAACCTATAGTGCTTATGCAACTAAAATAAAAATAGTATGTCAACTGGTTATGAAATAATGCAGTATTTGGTGTGAGGGAAAGTGGAAGAATCAAATCCTAAGTGAGCTATAATAAGAGATGAAGTAACAAAATATGACTCTGAGAAAGGACAAGGGCATTTTATGCAAAATGACAAAAGGGGAATTATCTGTACTAAAAAGGATAATATACTTTTTCCTATTACAAGTATTTTCTTAATAGTTAATGGAACATGTTATTGAATATATTAATGTGAAGTTGGTGGTATGTCTGTTTGATATATCAATTTGTAATACCATACTCATGTCTGTATATTCAAGTGTGTATATGTGTCCTATGTATGTATTCTGTTACATTTATATATGCATATGCTTTTATTTTCCAGCACCATGTGGTGGACATCTGACAGCATCAAATGGAGTTATCTTGCCTCCGGGGTGGCCAGGTTATTACAAGGACTCTCTAAATTGTGAATGGGTGATTGAAGCAAGACCAGGACATTCCATTAAGATCACATTTGACAGGTGAGGACCACAATAAAGACCAAAAACAAAGCCCACCACTACACAAATTCACAACAACATTAAGTATAAATATGTTCTGATTTTTTTTACTGAATGGAAGGGAAAAATAGTCTTAAAAAATCAATATAATAGAAACAAACCATTGACTTTCATTTGATTCCATCCCATTACTGAATCCCCATTCACATTCTTTTAGCTCTGCATTGTAATAAAAAAAATTCAAAACTTCAGCTCTGTTTACATTCCATTTAATTACAGGTAGCAAAATAGGCATTAAATACCAACATTACACTAAAGCAAGAGACATTTTATTCAGAATGTTGGATACTTCTGATACTGAAGTGAAACACAATGTGTTGACTTGGTCTCACTAGTTAAAAGAAGGAACACTTCTATGAGTAAAGGACTCTAAAACCCATCCCTTTCCTTGCACTAAAGACCCAGCTTTGACTTCATTATGAACTTTTGCCAGTACTTGATTGTACTACAACACTTCATGCAGACCACATCCTAAACCAGAAACAGTGTAGCAATATTTATGCATTGCTACCAGTAAGCTGAGTGACAGTGCAAATTTGCCCATCCTTTCCATATCCTCTGACATACGATCACACCACAAAAGTCCATACCATGCTAAACATTCATTGAGATAATAGATTATTTTTTTAGATTCATGTCCAGATCCTCAGCTGGTATAAATTGGCCTAGTTCCACCATCAGTTAATTGGCATAAGTCAATGTAGTTGCACAAACATCAGTAACTGACACCAGTAAAGGTTCTAGTTCCTATCATGTTTAGTATTTTTGACATTTTACCTGTGTAAGAATTCAGTTCCTGTAAGACAGTATCTTTTTGAGAAATTGCTGTTAACAGCAATTTGATCAGATGTGAGATTTCGTCTTGAGTGCTGCACTAGTAAGCTTCCTAATCCTAATTGGACCATGTAATGTGTTGCTGGTGGAACAGGCTTTTTTTGCCTACAGCAAGAGAGAAGAGCTTTGCTTTTGCTGTGGAAAAAAACTGGAATTTGTATCCCAAGCAAGGAAGAAAAAAATAATTGTAAGATCTGTAGATCTACATGGATGAATAACCCCATTAAAATGAATGCAGGTAGTCAGCATAGAATCTACAAGATATGGATGAAAATATTCTTCATTAAAAAAGGCTATGATTTAGATATCAGAAATCACAGAAATACAGTAAGATTTCTGAAACAAAAGTTGCCTCTCTCTGTTTTAAACCTTGTAAGTAAGTTAAAGTGAAAGGTTCTTCAGCCACGTAACTAAAAAGAGAAAAACAGAAAGAAATATTTGTTTTTTTTTATGTGTAGTGAGATTGGGTAGGTATGTTTCAATAGCTAAAATAAAATTATTTGTATCAATTTTCAGTAATGATGCTGGGGTGCAAAAGCAGGATATCTAATGGGAATAAGGACCTAGAAATGGAAATCACAACTTATCAGTCAGAATCTAACTCAAATATCAAAATGTTCTCAAGCCCAGGGGACTAGATCATCTCCATCATATAATTCTGTAGTAGGAGGTCTCCTACTATGAATTTTTAATTACTATATCCCGTTAAGGTAGAAAATGGACAATAGTTAATATTCTATTCATTTTAGAAAAGAAAGTATCCACTAGGGATATATTTTAGAGAGGGAAAACAGATGGATGCAGGAAGCCACAGGCCTATTAGTCTGACCTCAAGACATTGAAGGAAAGAATATATGAAGGAAAATGAAAAATCTGATAAAAAGCCACATGTGTCTACCAAAGGTAAATTGTACCATGCAGGTAGGATTGTATAACCTTGAGGACTGGAATACTAGAAAAAGGAAATGAAATTTAATAGTATAAAATGCAAAGGCATTTATTTAAGGAGTAAATTTCTGCCATAAACTGGAAACCTATTAGTTGTAAATGACAGAAGATTAAAAAAACCTGGCTTTGCTAGCAGATTACAAGATGACTAGCTACTGCCAAACTCATGAAGTTGTGTATAAGGATAATGTTATCCTAGCCTGTATCAGGGAAGGTATTTCCAGTAGAATTTGAGAAATATAGCTGTCATTGTACAAGGGACTGATGAATACTGTTTACAGTTTTGATCACTCTTGTTCAACATGATGAATTCAAACTGGAACAAGATCAAAGAGGACCATAAGGATGATCAAGAGCGTGATGAGCTGATGCTGTGTGTAGAGAAGTAGTTTTCAATCTTTTTAAAGTTAAACCACTTCTCAAAAAATGCCAGGTCTTTGTTTTCACTCTTTTCTGACTACAAAAAACACAAAGCAGTTTTTCTGTTCTAAAGAATTCAGAAAGACCACAACTATGGATTTATGTTTGAAATACCTAGATTTATCTTGTGAGATATGTTTGGAAACCTACAAGTGCTAACATTGGTTGCATCTACATAATACGCTTTATGGTACAGTAGACTAATTTGCTACGCAATGAGTGCATCTACATGAGATGCTACATTTCCATAGTGATGAGTTACAGTGATGTAGCATCAGTGGGCACAAGCTGTGATGCCAATGCTATGTTACCATAGCAATGAGCTATGTCACTGTAACTCATCGCTACAGCAACATAGCATCTAAAAATAACTGTGTGCAACTGAGACTGCACAGTACTGTAGGTAAAGCAAGTAATACATGACTGGTCAGTACCAAATGCACAGTCAGGGGCACGTGTAGACACATCCACTAAAGTGTCGCCATCTACATATGTGTGACAATTAGGGCACAGTAGACTAATTTTCTGCACTGATAGATAGTCCCATTAGATACAAGTGGTATCCAGCAGCATGGTAAGTTACTGCACTTAAATGCTCATGTAGACAGTGATGTTGGGAATAGTTTACTCTTACTCAAATTGAGCTGAAGTATATCCAATCATTCTAATTACACGTGTAAATGTGGCCATTTTCTCACACCCTGTGGCACACTTGAAGGAATCTCAAAGCACCTCAGGGTGCCATGGCACCGTGGTTGAGAAAAGCAGGGTAGAATAAAAGCGTTCTGCATATTTAGCCTAGGAAAGCAAAAGCCGAGAGAGATTTGATCTATGATCTCTGTAAATTCATGAAAGGGTAAACACAAGGCAGGAAGATGAGCTATTTAGTCAAAGGAACACTTGTGACACGAGATAAAATGGGAGTTAACTGACCATGAATATATTAAGGCTGGAAATAAGAAGAAAGTCTTTAACTATTAGAGAAGTGAGGTTCTGAAACAGCCTTACAGTGGAACTACTGGGGACAGAACTCCTAACAATTGTTAGATAGAGCGTGATCTGTTTGTGGAAGACATTATCTAAAGTCAGTCTCAGCAGACTGGACTTGGTAATCCAGGAGCTTCTTTCCATTCATGTTCATAAGCAGGTTACTGTAGTGCAAGTTTTCTGGCCAATTGGAACAATATTTGAGTGGTAAACCCTTGTACTTCTTAAAAGAATCTAGACAGCATATGACGTGTGTAAATTGTTGCATGGGCTCAGTCCTTAACACTGGTGTCTAATAAGGGAAACAGAAAAATATTAATTTTATAAATTAATGAAATTAAGAAAAAGAGGGTATTCAATGCTGCTGCATATCTTGCAATTCATACATTACATTACCAAAATAAAATGTTCTAACCCTGCTGATTATGAGAGTAGTCTTAACTATGTAAATCATTGCTATGGTTTTGGTGTTGCCATGCTAACCTTAAGTGCCTTGAAACAATTTAAAAGGAACAGAAAATAACTGGACATTTCCTAACTACTTCCTTATACTGAAACAGCCTTAGTTCTAATCTTCTCACTCACTTCTATCACAGCAATGAAAAGATGAAAACATCATTTTTCAACACCTAAAATCAGTTAAAATAAGCAACACCAAAGTAGGAGTCCAAGGACCTTGCTACATGTTAATTTTAGGCAGCTCCTGGATTCTTAATCCCTGGATTATCCACACATTAACCTGTGAAACTAATTTAAGCACCCTTTAGGTAGTTTAAAGTTATGCTATTCCAAGCTGGGTTTAACTCTGAGCTGTGTTACCCAGCTTGTATTACACTGGGCACATCTACACATTCCCCTACAGCATCATTGCTACTGTGCTGTCATTTCTTTACTTTCTACTTTCTTTAGTAAGTACTAAACTATGGTGCAGTAACAGCTGTTACTGTGCTGTGCTGGTGGTGCATGGGTTTTTTTAGCTGCTACATCTCCGTAGTGATGCACTATAGCAAGGAGGCATGTCACTACAGCAACATAGTTCTGGTGTCACGGTCTGTGCCTGCCAACACTACATCACTGTAGTACACTGCTACAGCCATGTAGTGCCACATGTAAATGTGCCCACTAGCTTGGAGCCACTCTAGGTTGCATGTTAGTGTAAACACTCAACGCTCGCCCCCTCCGCTGGCCTGGCTTGGGCCAGCTGCCTGCCCCCACCATGCTCTCCCTCCCAATCAAGTGACTATCCACCACTGGGCCTCCCCCCCAGCAACCCAAACTGGGCCCCCTTCCCCTGCCTCCTACCAGCCCAGATTAACCAGCGTCTCCCCACCCCCACCTCCCTGGATTGGGCCCAGTGTCTTCTGCCCCTACCAGTACCCGAGATCCTTGCTCATCCATCTCTGCCCTTCTGGCTTACTTTTAGCTGCCAGTACTGTCCCCAGGGAACAGGCAGGGAAGGGGAACCTGCCTGCCCGGCTCCTGCCACTGCTGTCACTGTCACCAGTGTCCCTTTCTTGGATTCTCCAAACTCAAACTAGCACGAACACCAATCAACATTTGAGCAGCTCAAAGTACAATGTATAACACAACCCTAAGTAAGGGCAGACTTTTAGAGTTTTGAACTGCCATTAACTTACCTTGGAATTCAGGACAGTAGAGAGACACAGTTCTAAAATTAAGTACAAGTTTGGGGATTTGTTGCTCATTTGGTTGGTTAGCTTTTGTAGGTTGCTAAAAGAAAGATGACAATGAAGAAGAAAAGAAAACATGGAATTATAAAAGAGTTTAATTATAATCTAAATATACTTTGGTTTCTCTTGGTATCTTTCTTTTGGTACTTTGGTTTCTCTTGGGAAGTTGCTTGTTAATGGACATATATGCTATCTGGTTTTGAAAATGTAATGGTCTAGGTTGGAATTTGCAGTGGGGGGGGAGGGTTGTATGACCATTACATCAAAAACATAATGGTCTTTTTCATTTTAATAGAAAACTCCAAGATAGTTCATGACTGTTTGTCATACGTTCTTGCAAGTCATGTGTAATAACAAGGATGCCATTTCTTTCCCCCTGAGCCATAAAATATGTTGGGAAACTAGTTGAAGGATACTTAAAACATTATGTTCCTTTGCAACAGGATGCTGGTTTCTTGCCCCCAGTGATTGAACTAGCCAACTCTATAAGGGGACTGTATTAAGTCTCTGTAATAGTACATACCCTTTCCATACTTGCTCACAACAGATAAGGAACATATGGAAGGCAAGAAATATGTATTTACCCAAATGCTTTCAAATTCTGGTAGATGCCTTTTTAAAGGAAACTACATTGACATGAAAACTATGTACAAGGTTCAGATTTTCTAGTGTATGAAGAAAGTGTTTGATGTGAGTCAAGTTCAAGCTGGCAAAAGGGCAGATCTGAGATTATTTGATATAGGAATGACAAATGGAGAATAACTGCATGCTTTACCATCCTTCATGAATCTGAATGTCTTTAAATAGATTGCACTGTGGTCTACCGGATGTCACTGCCCTAAGGCATATGTGGATTGTACCAGTCATCTGAAACAACTCACTTTACATCACTAGAACTCCTTTTTCTTTGTATTTCTTCAGTCCATCTAATCTATTTAGATAATCTATTTGTGTCAGGGATTGTCACTAAACTATATTTGTACAAAACATAACAGAATAAGGACTTGACCAGTTGGAAACTTTACATACTGATGTAATGTAAATAATTATAAAAAAGCAGTAAATGAAGGGTGCACATAAGCATTGCTTTTCTACTACTGGGAACATAGTTCCCTTGGTAAAAATCCTGCTGGACAAATCTACCGCATCCAATGAGGCAGAGTTTCTATCTGTTGAACACTTACTAAAAAACATAACTTTTGGGGGAAGATTGGAATACAAAAATATGCCGTTAAAGATATGAAAAAGTCCTTTAGCAGTTCTTTGAGCTTCATATAACCCCAAATGTTAGTATTTCTTAGACTCTCCCTTGTCCAGTTTCCTAAAGGAAACTTCATAGCATTTCTATCAAGATGCATCCTATAGATCTTTTTAAGTTCAATCACATAGTTAATTTAACATTGAAACTTCTTTCTTAACTAAATTGAAAATGGCTGAAGATCAAACAAAACAAAGCAAAACAAAACAAAATAAAATAGAAGATTGCTTATTTGTTTAAAAAGTCTGTAGTTTTCATTGTTTATTCTGATGTATCTACAGATATTTTGAAGTACATAATATCTGAAATGTTTCTTCAGGCACAACTATATTGGAGTTTCAAAGTTTCCATAAAGTTGTACTGTTTCTCTGTTTACCAGTTAATTTGATTTGTTCCTTTTCAGATTTCAAACTGAAGTTAATTATGATACCCTAGAAGTCAGAGATGGGCCAGCAAACTCATCACCACTAATTGGAGAATACCATGGTACACAGGCACCACAGTTCCTTATTAGTACAGGCAACTACATGTATCTGCTGTTCACTACAGACAATAGTCGTTCCAGTGTTGGCTTCTTAATTCATTATGAGAGTAAGTAATATTTATCTGATGGATTTCTGTTTAACTATTTAACTAGTTAAATAGTTAATAGTAAATCATTTAAATAGTGAAAATGACAAATAGATTCCAAGAAATGTGTTTGCCTAACACCCTGCAATGTCTTTCTCCTACCTTAATTAGGGACAGAGTCTGAAACTGTTCCTCACATTGAAAAAAAATATCTCCAGGGCTTGTTCCGTGTTAAAGGAATAGGGGACCAGTCAAAACAACAAAGTGTGTTAAAATGTGGCTCTTGAACAGTAAAATCTTTAGGACAGAGTTCTTTTTTTTTATAGGCCTGCTAAGTAGGCACAGTTCTTAGTAAAATTTCCCTTAATCCCTAATTATGTCTTAAGGGCTAAGTACGGGCAGTCAAAAAGCCCAAGGCTGAAATGATTCAATCTTCACAGGTTAGTTGAAGCTGTGTAGATTGAATCAATAAGCAAGTGAACAGACATTCACTTTTGATTCGAGAAATGCAGCCACATACCTGCACTGACCCAGGCCAAAAGCTGGGTGGTGCTAGAGCAGTGATCAACAACCAGTGGATCTTTATCCACCAGTATATCTCGGAGCCTCTTGGAGTTGATCTGAGGCTGGGGTGGGGGACATGCCCACATGCATGCATGCATGTACCCCAGCCAAGCAGGTCAGTTTGTGGGGGAGGGAAGGGGCAGGGGCTAGATTGAGGCTCCCACAGTGAGGGACAGTGCCATAGAGGCAGGAGCAGGGGTAAGCTGAGTGGAGCCCTGGCTGGGTGGGGCTTACTTGCTGGGGAGGCATGCCCCCAAATATTTTTTTTGTCCCTCTGCCTCGATCTACCCTCCCTCCCCACAGACTTACCTGCTGGGCAGGGGAGGGTGGCACGGCAACAGTGCACAGTAGATCTTGGGTTGCTTTTAAATGTCAAAGTTGATCTACTTCAAAAGTCTGGAGACCTCTGTGCTAGAGCATGCCTCCTTGCTCAGCTGGACCAGACAGCTTGGGTCAAAGCTAACCTCCCTACCCTGGGGGGTGGGGGGTGTTGTGGGGGAGTTGCAAAACATCCTGGGATGCTAGGGGACTGTGAGTTAACCAGAATCTGGAGGGGATCTGGGACAGAAGTTCAAGAAACTGATTTAACCTAAATCAGTGAAGTCTGACACTACATCCATTCAGGTTTATCTTAAACCAGTTTGGGCCATTTTGAAAGCAGTTTATGTGCACTGAACTTCTATTATGTTACAGATTTGAACTTGTTTCCAATTGCTGATACCAGTTTATGTGTAATTTCTGTCCCTAGCCAAGGTTACAATATAATACAAAGAAATAAACAATATCATCTCAATTCTGAAACTCGTTAGTAAGCTGTAATGATTTAGTTCTTAAGGATTAGCTGTAAAACTTTATACATGCAGAAGTCTGGCCTTTCCAAGTTAGGCTAATTTTATTTGAGAGCTAACTCTAAGCAGTTGTTTTAAAAAATATTGATCTATGTATTTTTATTTTTAGATATAGTAACATGAGTACAGTGCAGTTATATATTATATTTCATATGCTGTGCATGTGTACTATACCCTACTTAATTTTGGTGTATTTACACATACATGCATGCGCATATATATGTGGGTATGTGGGTATAAATACATCAAAATATGTACCGTGCCCTATTTAATATTTTGATTTATACACACATAACCACACATATATGTGCATATATTGTAACTTTTATAATGTTAAATTAATTGAATATAACATTTATATGACATTTATGAACATACAAATAATATTTATATATAGGTCAATATGTTGAAACCTAAAAAGGTAACCATGTCCCAAATCTTTGGTGTCTGTTTACCCATACAATTGTAATCTATAGACTGTGACAGAAATAAGATGCTGTCCAGCATGAACACATCATAATTGGAATAATATTACTATTTCTACAGTTGATACTAATGTTTGCACCAAAAATAGAACAGGACTGCAGTATGAAAAATAACCACACCTGAATATTCAAAGAATGATTCATAATAATAACATTCCTGTCTCATCTTTTAATAAGCAGTTAATATTCTACAGTGGGGATTCAGGAGTGTATGACTGAGAAAGGGAAGTAGGAGTTACAGCTAGTGGAAGAATTGGAAGGAGTGCAGCCTGACAGTATTGTAACTGAGAAGGGAAAGATGGAATGGGAAACCTGGGCGCCACATTTATGTGTGTCAGGGGAGCAGGGGGTGGCACAAAAATAGCCTCCATCACAGTGGTGCTTGCACCACCATGACCAGCAGTTGGGACCTACTCTGTGTATTATGGTTGTCCTGCTACACCTCTGTTGCCTGAGTAGTGAAAAGTTGTATACTAGACAATGAGCAATGAAAGAATCTACGATGACCTCTAGTCTGAAGAGCTTGGCTAGTGGGCATGAAGGAACTGAGAATAGGCTGTTGTGAAAAGCGTATTTGAAGAGTTCCAGCAGTCTGGAAAGCCTTTGAACTCCAGAGGCTGACTTGCCAAAACATGTATTTCTGAACCAAGTTATCTACAAAATATTTTTTTAAGAAATCCTAGCATCAACATGAATCTGCCTTCTGTAAAGTAAAATACTCATTACTTGCTTCTCTTAGAACAGCTTCTGAAAATCAGTTAAGTCTTAATGGTAGTCTGTTAAATGGGTAAAAGATGGGGAATACTCCTCCCCACTATTTTTTTTTTTTTTAATATTTTATTTATTTATTATTTTATTGTGAGTTAGCCTTAAGGTTTAGATGATAGTGTGTTATAAAAGTAGATCAACTGATGGCTTTTCAGGGACTTAAACATGTAAAATAGTGTCTAAGTCTACTCAGCTCAAGTGGGAAAAAGTGAAATGAAGTGGGAACCTTCAATTATGAATTTCTGTATAATAGTTGTATGTAGAGCCCTAGTTTTTGCATTTTTATTTTCTACTCATCTACCTTTAAGTAATTTGTAATACCGGCCAATATAGCAATGGATTTTCTGCATTATAGAGCCCATTATTTTCAAAAAATAGTCCTCTGTGGTTCAATGGTAGAATCCTTGTCTGCTATACACGAAAACTGGGTTTGATTCCCAGACCCTTATACAACTACAGCCATGGAGGCACCAAACATCTGGACTCAGTCTGGTCTTTGGATTCTGTCTCAGTGGACTAAGAGGAGGATGGAAGGTCTGGGAAGCCTCCCCTGCTCTGAAAAAATCCTGCCCATGCATTTCACTGTAGCTTTTATAGGTTTTACACTGGTGGATAGGCATTGATTTCAATGTGACTTTTCTTAATTTATCTCAATGCTTTAAGTAAAATCAGAATCAAGCCCATTATGTGTAGTTTCCAGTCCAAAGTCATAAACACGGCATATACTGGGTTAGATTGTGTTCCAGTTTTTAGGTGCCTAAGTGGGTCCTATTTTACTTTGTTCTTGTCAGGAAAAAAACATCAATGCAAAGGTGAGAGAGTCCTCCACAGCTTTTTTGTGATTCAAGAGCATATGAATGAATAGATTGTTAGTGAGTTGAACCGGGTGGGATACAATTTTGTTTATGCAGAACAGAATAACCCCCAGTAACAGTTTTTTCAGGGGCGTGAGCAGGATGGAATGGGAGACCACTTACACAAGAAGTGGAATAGAATCAAGCCTCTGAGATGCTAATCTTAGTGTGATAATCTTAGCAGCTTTCAAGTTCTGTCAGATTTAGATTTCCACTTTCATGTTGAAAAAGTCTATGCCATAGGATGTGTCCAGGGCATTGGATACACATTGAAGAAAGAGGCCTCAGACTTGAGTCTCGCTCTATAGGATGACAATCTGTAGCCAGAAATATAGTTTGTTAGCCAAAGAACTGAAGTTGGTGACTCAGCAGCAAATCTAAGGAAAGATAAAATACAGGTTTAGGGCCAGGTTCAGATCCTCCACGCCAGGCCTTTTTACACAGCTGCCCATGGTTAGGGCCAGCTGAGGTATCTATGTAAGGAATGGAACAAGGGAAGAACTATGGAGAGAAGTAAAATACATGGCAAACAGTAATGTGTTTGTTAACTATATATATATAGTGGGGTAACTATATATATGTATCAGGCTTGCCTTTTGGAGCTTGAATTGAGTCCCAGGCTTGAAATCTGGCTGTTTTGATTGGTGGAGATCATCCCCCAATCAGGAGGCAGCCAGAGGAGTTTAGTCATTCCCCTTTCCTGAGAGGAGGGGGAGAGGAGTTTCCTGCCCCTCCCCCATGGACCTGATTGAAGACTGCAACACTCAGGTCTGGAAGACTTCAGGGGTGGAGTCATGGAGCATATAAAAGGAGCTGCGTGCCCACCATGAGGGATGCACATCTGGCAGAGAGAGAAGAGCAGGACTTAGAAGAGCTGCTCAGCAGAGTGAAGCAGTAGCCCAGAAGTGCCCCTGAAGACTTCCATCAGCAGGGAACAGTGGACAGCTCCAGCACCTAGGCTTTCGGTCTGCAGCACGGCACATGGTGTGAGGCAGCTCAGGTCTGCAACCTCTGGTGTGTGGCCAGAGACACGGTACACAGGCCAGTGCATGGAGTAAGACCTTTGGAGCACTTGGGCAGCTCAGGTCCTCAACCCCTGAAATTAAGGTGGGAGCTTGGTGCAGGAGGCACTGCACGGAGGGTCCGGGAGCAGACTGAGCCTGGTGCTGCACAAGGCAGCCCAGGCCTCCAACCCATAGCAAAAGGTTGAGTCCAGAGAGCCAGACGGTGATCAGGCTACTGAGCCAGCCGACAGGGCCAAGCCAGAGGCCCAGAAGCCCTGCATAGCAGAGCCCTGTTCCAGGGGACAGTGACCCCACACTGAAGCCCACTGCAGGTGAGAGAGCAGCCTGGCACAGAAGACAAGGACCACCCTCCAGGCCTCCAGTTGCAAGGAAAAGAGGATTCCCACAGGGGAGGGGAGTTCCCCGCCTGGTTAGTTAAGGGAACCTGAAAGGGGAGGTCCCACTGAGGGGGTCCCCCTAAAGTTACCAGCTTCTTTG